GACATGGAAGAGGGCGGGGAGAGAGGATGTTGAGTTTTTATGATACATTAACAGTGTCTCATCAATTGTGTGAGTGCACTTAAATTTAACTTGGAATCAGCTGCCTCAACAATTAAAACTAATCAGATTCATGAAATAGACTTTGATACCAATTAAATTCTTTGAATTTGCCTCTACCATGAGTCTGACTAAAAATAATGTTTTTCTATTTTTTCAGCCTGCTGTCTTTTATCAAGTCTGTTTTTATTCTTCCTCTGCCCATCAATTCTTCATAATTCAGTTCTAAAACAATAACAGCACTCCTAGATCTTCATTACTACAGTTCTTAATAAATTAGATTCCATGCCTCAGTTTTGTTAACTCAGAAGAATGGGCATGAGGGGGCTCTTTTGGCTCTTCAAGGAAAGACACATCCTTTAGAAAAGGTTTGTCTTATTAAATTTTTCCAGACAAGGTATCTCTTATCTTTAAAAATTCTTCTTTAATATGCTTTGATCCTAATTTCTAATTTTCTTATTTTAAATTTTATTTTTGTTATATATAATTAATTATTTAGTCACTGTATGTATTTTAAATACCTATTTTAAATCACCTGTTTTATTAAACACTATATTGACAGGCACTGTATTGCTTTACATACACTATATATTTTTCAACCCATTTTATTAAGCTCTCCCCAATCACCTTCTACATCATTGCCTTTGTCATGACAAACTTTCATTTCTGACTCAGATTTGAGAACTACTACTTCTTCAACCCATTTATAAAGTTCTCACTTTATCCAATTTTTATGAACTGAAATAAAAACTTGTGGCCAACGTTTTAGTACCAACTGAAAATTCAAGACATCCTTAAGCCATTCTTCTCCAAATCATTACTTGTTTGGGGCTCATTAAAGGACTCCTAGAGCCCTAGCCAGTTTGGCTCAGTGGATAGAGCATCGGCCTGCAGACTGAAGATTCCCAGATTCGATTCCATTCAAGGGCATGTACCTTGGTCACAGCTTGATCCCCAGCCCTGGTCAGGGCACATGCAGCAAACAAACAAACAAACAAACTAACTCCTGGAGATTCTTAGAGTTGCCCTCTTCCCCCATCCCATTGTCCTTTCCTTAAATATGTATCTTCTCCCTGATGTTACACCTACTACAAAAGATCCCAGTACTTTGCAGTGAGGAAATGAAAATGAATTCAAACAAAAAAATAAAAAGGAGAAAAAGTCTCTAAAAGCTGTAAACTCCTCAACCCTCCACCACCACCACCACCACCATCCCATATATTAATCTCTTGCTGTTCCTTGGTAGAATCATAGAGCAGCTACTCTCTATTTGTCCAGTACTGTTCACCATCTTGAAGATCATCGTAGTGGTATTGATAAGGGCACACATCTGGAAAAAAGAAAACTTGATTTCTAGTCCTGGCTCTGTAATTAGTTGACTGTGTGGCCTTGAACAAGTCATTTAACCTATACAAACCTTGGTTTCTCATTTATAAAACAAACATCCCTTTTAGCTCAAAGAATCAATGCATGGCATTTTATGGTCTTTTCCAAATTCAAAAACCTAAGATCTCAGCTTTTTTCCCAAGAAGTTTGTCTTTATTTTTAAAGTCTTTAATTAGTAACATATAATAAATACTTAGTTTAAATAAACACAGAAACTCTATTTTTTTTCACTGTTTAATTAGCTTCAGATATGATGCCCTCTCAACTCACTACAATTTGTCCATGTAACTATGTAAAGAGCTCAAATCTTGGTGTATAATTAAGAACTATTATGCTCTCTAGTATAATGGTAAGATACATAAAATAATAGACAGGAAAAATCAATAGAAAGCTGAATATGGGGACATTAAAAGCCTCTGAGGTGATCAGTTGCTTGGAGTGAGGAATTACATGATTTCTCAAAGATATCTCAGAAACTTTATGTAGACCAATTCTCTCTACAATTATACTTTTTTTTTAAAGAGGGATTATATAATGTCTCAAATACTCCTCTAAAATGTTAAGCTATAATAAATAAATAAATAAATAATGTTAAGCTATAATGTAGGGACAACACATGTTCAGAAAGTATACATTAAACAGATTAATAGCATTTGTGATTTATTATTCTACATTCCTGTTGTCTAAGGTATTCTATTTATAGTACAATACTTTGATGTACAATGATCAGTAGACTTCATGCAGTGGCAAATGCCATTCATAATTTGAGATTCCTTGTTGATCCTCAAGTAGCAATAAGTTTATAATAGCATTATTTCAAACAGCTCTCATTTTTTATCTTTTTTTATTTTGTCTGTCTTGCCTTTACATTCAAGAGTTTTTACCACACATTTCCAGCTACAAAGTCAGGTGTCTGCTGTGGATATTTTTAAATTATTTCTAGTGTTTTCCTTTTCAATGCTGGAATAAGCTGATCATCTAAATCACAAGAGATTTCTATACCAGTTGCACAGTTCCAGTTAGTTGTTGAGTTGTGCGCTCATCCTTGAGGTTGTAAGTCATTAACATCTTCTGCTCTAGATTGCAAATCAGACAGTGTTTATGCTTGCATCCTGATACTAGATTCTTATATGATGCTATGAACCTTGATTTTGATACTTCAAACTACATGTTTGTCTAGTTTATTAGGCCATAGCATACATCATTGTTACAGTTTTCATATTCCCTCTCCCTTGGGGCTCTCTTATTTCTGCTAGCATCTCATTCAGGTTATTTGATTACAGTTTTCATTGCCACTGAAAAAATAATCACCAACAATGTTCAACCTGTTACAACTGCCTTTTTCACTCTCTGCCATTTTGTAGTTTTTTTGGCCTACTGTCAAACTCATGAAAACTTCAATATAATAGCCTTTAACCAGCTGCTGCATTCTGTTAGGATTTCTTTCACCTTTTTATGTTGCATACTCCCATATGGGTAAACCAAATGGAGCCAAGAGCTAGCTTTCTTAATCCCTTGCTTTCTTAATCAGTTAGAAAATTATTCTTCTGTATTATTGACTGTCAAAAGGATTTAGGCATCCCAAACTTGCGTGTAGTATGTTCCTGCATAGATGACATAAGAAGAGCATAAGAAATTGCCCTGACTGGTTTGGCTCAGTGGATAGAGCGTCGGCCTGAAGGGTCCCAGGTTCGATTCCGGTCAAGGGCATGTACCTTGGTTAAGGGTACATCCCCAGTAGGAGGTGTGCAGGAAGCAGCTGATCGATGTTTCTCTCTCATCGGTGTTTCTAACTGTCTATCCCTCTCCCTTCCTCTCTGTAAAAAATCAATAAAATATATTTTTTAAAAATAGTATTTAAAAAAAGAAAAGAAATAGCACACTGGGTCAGAGCAACAGAGCAACTAGCCCAGAACTCT